CAGGAAATGAAAAGGAACCCAGTTCAGCGAACCGTCTTCATCCGCATAGTAGACACATATCTCACGCATAGGTAATTCTGGGCTCACGTACCTTCCCCCAACGCTCATGGAACGTTCTAGAGCCAATAACTGGATGTCACTTGTTTCTAGGCTAAATTCCCCGTCCGCATTACCAAGGCTAGCCCACGGACGGGACAGGCTGACGTCGAAAAAACGCACTCACGCCTCGTGTGCCCGTCGAAGGGAATGGAAAAAGAGGGCCTTTTGTAGCCTTCATTCGCCGAAATGCTTTCTCTTTGTTTCCACCTATAGTACCCGAGTACAATATTTCAATTCCTCGAACACTGGATAGCTCAAACTTAAATAGTGATGGGGCATGAGAGTTTAGGATAAGATTTTTATGACCATTTTTGGGGTCAGATATACCAGAGATTGTCCATGAATACTCGTGTAATTGACGTCAGTGATTCACAATCGCCATTACTAGAGCATCAGCATACTTTTTTTTTCTTTTTGGCAATACTGATCCCCAATCCAACCTCAACTGCAAAATAAAAACAGGTTCTTTTATCCAATTTTCAAAAAAGATAAAAGATAGCCTGAAGAGTGTATCGCTTGTAGAATCTCAAATATTGAAAGCCACGTATCAAAAGCTATTTTTCAACTGTATCCGATTCATCTTCTGAAAATTCAACTGTAACGGTTCATGAATTAATTTGGACTGCAGCGACATGCATGTCCCTGAATGAGAAAAGCATAGGTCCGTACAGAAGTTTGCCAGAGTTTAGGTATTCATAATTATTTTGGTAACGCTCATATATGTGGACCATCCGCTCAAAACTCTGTCTGACGAGATTGTTCACTTTGTATGCGTCATTCTTAAAGCTGCGATCACTCAAGAAAACTCCATCATGCAAACAGAGAGGCAATGAAGTTTACTATTTTTCAGTTTTCAAGCAGAGATCCTTCTGAGTACACATTACAGGGAAGCTTGAAACTAGTCTCACAAACTAAACCAAGAATTACTGGAGAAAAAACAATATCCAGTGAGATTTCTCATCCTGTTTTCCGCTCATTAGGTTACTTCTCGTTAATAAATTTCAGAAAGATGATGGATGAATTTGGTGACCATGCCTTACTGATGGATAAAGTTTGCAGATGATTTGTACATGTAAGTAGGCATCCAATTATAATGGTATATCCGTCATTCATCTAACAATAAGGCTTAATGTTTTCTGCAGTACTTCAGTAAGACTTCAACTGACTCAATGATGACAATGAGAACTAAGAGAAGGCTATCATTTCTTCCCACGGATTGCCGAAGTACTGCACAGTCAGCAAAAGAGAACCAACGATATAAATAACAGCGTACGTCAGTATCATCATTAAAAATTGTAACTGCTTCAAGTACTTCACTGAGGCTAATCATCTTTAAAGTAATGCTGGGATCACAATTTCGATTCGATCGACAGGGTTAGTTTTTCTACATAATTTCGTTCATCAGGCAACAGGTTGGCTTAGAGCTGAAAAGCAAAAAACGAGATTATAAGTGCAAGACCAGTTTTGCTGGAAAGACAGGAGATCACGTCAGAGATGGTACAATATCCATAATTAATCCATGCCTATGACAAAGCAAAAAAAAAAAAAAAACAGACAAAAAAACGATGAATGCTTGACGACAGAGGAGAATGCATTGCGGCGAGCGGAGACCAGAGAGAATCCGAGAACAAAGGACAAACAAAAATTTCGATTTGAGATGAATGCTTGGAACGCGTAAGCTTGTCAATTCGCGAGCCGTGGATTGCAATTCAGCCCTTCTTCTCTCAGCCCCTCCTTTTCAAGTCTTCCTCGCATTTGACCCATTTTTTATCTATCACACAAGAAGACGGACCAGAGAGATACTGCGTCTGACATCCCCACACACGAAACCCGAAAAATCAAATCACGCAAAACCCACACGAGCTGAACCTCGACGCGCGCCCCCGAACCCCATCCCGTCGAGCCCATTGTTTTGGAGACCGAGAAACGGTTTTTCGCGCTTCTTGGAGCTCCGAATCACTCACTCAACGGTCACAAGCCATTAATCACGTTTCTCCTAGAACCTCGTTTCCCACCTGCACGGTACGCTTTATTGTAGCAACCTATCCCCAAACCCAGAAGCACCCTCGGGTGCCGGCTGATCGAGCAATTGCCCGACTAATGCCACGCCAGCTGAACGCCCAAGGATCACAAAAAAAAAAAAAAAAAAAAAGCCTCATCCCCACCGGAATTAAAACGGACACAGAAAATAGCCAACATTCATTTTTCACGCCAGTATCAAATTCCAATGCTTTCGTGATGTGATCAGTCAGTGGAGGAAATAACAGCTGAGCCCATAAAAAAATCCCTTATAAACCAGCAGGGATTTCATTCATACTATATTGAACAATGCAAATTGGGTTATTGCAGCGAATCAGGAGAAGCTTTTGACGCCACTCGGATAATACAGTACAGTATTCTTTTCCAGTCCTCCATCATCAGAATCCTACTGCCTTCTCTACAAAGAAATAAACTAATTAATTTTCAGAGTATGTTCCACGGTATCAGTTTTCTCGAGAATTTGCACGTGACTTCGAAAAGCACAGGTTAGGAAGTATTATTCAATTTTGATGAACGAAGAAACATTTTTACTATTTTAAAATTTCAAAATTGAAAAGAATATGCCACCTGAAATCCAACTGAATTAACTGCGTCTCCAAATTTAAGCGGAAATATCGAGCGCAATCTCTAGAATCCAAAAATTTGCAATCTTTATGGAACGTCATGAAAAGAAATCGTTGAAACTACTGTATAAGGGCTTCAACTGCAGTAGGCTCGTATAACGGATATGCTCAAAAATCGCGTTTGGACTTAAATCACGAAATAAGTCAAGTTTTTGGGAATTACGATAGGTCAGAACTGAAAGGGAGGTTAATTTTAGAGTGATTGCAAGGGCCTCATATAAACTGCAATGATACTGGCGCAGAAAACGATGTCTCGACATTTTCTCGTCGGAAAGCGTACACTGCTGGACTCGCACTCTGCTGACGCAAGAGCCTGGATTCCCGACTCGATTTACGAATACTCGTGCAATTGTCTTGAAGCATCCACAGGAATGTCTCAAAAAGAAAAACAAAATCAACAAAACCGAGCACAAAAGGACATATGGAAGCCGTTCATACACAACTCGACTGCGCGAACGAATAGCGAGCGACCCAGCCTATAGTCCGCCTTAAACTATTCTCGGGAAGACTCGCGTCAACCTTTCGTTCTCAGACAAGCACAATATCCCACGTAACACACCGAACGAAGTGACGCAGCGCTATAAAAGTACACCGTCGCGTCTGCTTCACATTTACAAAGCGAAACATTCCACATAACGGACTGTTCAATGCCTCACCACAAATATTGCTTGTCTCCGCGAGCACCGCAGTCATTCTTTTCTCTTTCTCTTCACGTCGGATTGGTGTAGCAATGTAAATCCTCCGGGCAGAAAGAAAATATATTAATTTCTCGACACGGAGTGAAGTGCAAAGGAATTGAGCAGTGAAACCAAGGAACCTCTTCATTCCGAAAAAAATCCAGCAGCGCGCACCGAGTTGAAAGAATATCTCCATCCGCCTTTTTGGATGTATCCATGAAAGATCATCGAGTGAACTTGACAGATCTTCAATAAGCACTGGAAAGAACATTTCGAGAGTGCCGTTCCACGTTTTAGCACCGACTAGTCCAGCTCTCGTTTCTTTTCAATAATTTCATGGATGACTTTTCCCATTCAGTCGGCGACCGCATTTCTCTTACGCGATCAACCGCAGGTGAATTTCGCAGCAATCCATCACTTTACTTTTCAATTCATGACAGAAGGGAATTTACACGGAAAGAATTCTGCGAAATTATGTTAAAGACATGGAACCCGGAGGATTTCAAGGGACGCTACACCCCTACACGACAATCACTGCTGCAAGAACGAGGCTATTTCTCAAGCAAAGCATACATCACCCCTTTCCTCTTCCTCTCGAAAAAATAAAAATGACAGAAATACAATAAAACAAGTGTCGTCACGAAGATTTGAAAGAGAATTCAACTATCTGGAGGGACTCCGATTCATTGCAAATTTCATCCTTTGCACACCCAAGGACGGAACTATCCCGGGATCCCGGCCCGTAACAAATTGCTGAATTTTAACGTGCCGATCCATCGGAAAAGCTCCGCCTTCATCCAACTGGCTTCCCGAACTAAACACGGAGAATCATCGTCAGCGCCCATTTTTCTTCGACACTATACACATGAACGGAATATAAGCATCGTAAGTCGGTATAGATCGCGTGAAAACTCGAAAAAGAAAGTCCTTCCTTCAACACTTCCGCCATGAGCTCGAATGAAAGAAGCTGAACGCGAGCGGCGAATCTCACACACAGGCGAGGAAAGCTCGCGGAAAAGAAGCCGATCCAAAGAAGCGTGAACTAGTCGTTCCTCAACCGGAATCACACGTGAGTTTCCTCCACGTCCTTTTCACTGTTCGTCGGAGACAAGCGCAGGGAGCTCGGCGGGTCGATCTTGACGGAAGAAGAATAAGCCAATCGTGGGTCACAAATTCCTCCGTAATATGATGCAGGTTAGGAATTATTATTCCATTTTGATGAACGAAGAAACATTTTCACTATTTACAAATTTTTCAAAATTGAAAAGACCATGCCACCTGAAATCCAACTGAATTAACTGCGTCTCCAATTTAAGCGGAAATATCGAGCGCAATCTCTAAAATCCAAAAATTTTCAACCTTTATGGAACATCATAAAAAGAAATCGTTGAAACTATAGGCCTTTAATTGCAGTAGGCTCGTACAAAGGATATGCTCAAAAATCGGTCACAAAAGGAGTGAACAAGTGACCAAAGGAAATGGAGCAGTTCAAGTCAAACCTCGATAATCCGTTACAATGTGTATATCTGTGAGGTTTTTGGTGGTTTAACTGGGTTGGCAGTTAAAAGGTGGCTGCTGCAGAGTGGTTCACCAAAACAAGCTAAAATAATCTGAAAATTAAGTATACTAGGCGATAAAATTCTCATTCTTCTAGAAAACAATCAAAAAATGAGGTATATTCGACATCACGTTAGATTTTTAGCTGCCAGGTGCTACATTTTAGTCGTCAGGTTTGATTGTATTCGTCAGTCTAAATTTTAGTTGTTGGGTTATACTTTGCTTGACAAATTATTGTAGTTGGCACAGTAGATTTTAATTGGCATGTTATATTTAAGTTGTTACGTTGATTGAGAAAGGCAACGAATTTAGGTAGTAATTAAAGACAATTAAATCGACAGAAGCATTTGCACGGGACATGTTACTGCCCGATTGGGTTCGTTTGGAGTTGGATACGGGAGTATGTAAAATGAGTGCCCGGTCCCACGCGTCATGTTATACAAGGTAAACTCTCTCTACCACGAATTTGTATACGACGATTTTCTCTGTGCATCGATTTTTTGTGTCTTATAGTACAGTATCTTTCAATGTTATAGGGGTTCTCTAAAACAAAATTCACAGTACAGTATAGTACAGTATCTTCCAATGTTATAGGGGTTCTCGAAAACGAAATTCTCTCGACAAAGATTTTTTTCTGGTCCGTTAAATTTCGTTATTTTAAAACGATCGAGGTAGTCCACCTGTACGTATGGCCTTCGGTGCAAACTTCTAAAATACTCTGCACGGCGGACCTTTAACAATTTCTCTCATCCGGTCAGCTGGAAGAATTCGGGATTTGTTCTTCCAATGGTTGCATGGCCACGTACTATACAGTAATGCATATACAAATTTCATCTCTGGTTGTGTTGATCCATCTTCTTTAGTCAGTCATGTATCATGACAAAGTTATCATAGTCGGTCCACACATTTTACGAACGCGTAAAAAATTCAAACATGGCAATGTCTCACCTTAATTGTGATCCCCACATCATCCTCATCTTCCTCCGGGACGTGCGAAAGACGTTTATGCTCGTCACTGGAGCCCTTTTCATTCGCAGCTCGATTTCTGAAAATTAAAAAAAATATTCGCTATCTTTAGCGAATATATCGAGCCTAAAGCTCGAGACACAGCAAGCCACGGAACATGTCGATAATTTTTTTTTTTTTTTTTTTGCACAAAATACGTCTGAACATCCGCACATGTATCTTTTCAATGGATAGTGCAACTGTTTTCAGCTTGAGGGTGGCCCGTTCGCCGTTGATGTGCGAAGTGGAAAAGCCTATACAGTACATGTTTCCGAGTGCTTTACATGTTCGGAGAAACAGGCGGAAAAGTGATCAAAACTGAAGATAAAAAATACAGAGATTAATAGAACGAAAGGCTTCTGGCAGGATACATTATAAAACTAAATCCTCATCGTTTTCACGAATTACGCCAGAATATCTCAAATTCGTAATCCTCGAATGTCCTCGCAGCAATTCTCGAAGCAAATATTTACAGCAACTGGAACTTCAGATGAGTCAAAGAGCAATTAAAATACAATTGTGACTGCCACTACTGACATCAAACTGCATAACGGACACAAGAAAATCAATCATACGCTATAATTGTCAACACAATTATATTCAATCGGTATTCAATCGAAGGCATGAAACGAGATGGAACTCCAAAATAAATGGATCTACAGTAAACTGAAGAAGGGACTTCACCAAGAAATTGGCTCCTCCTTACCTTGCCTTCGATTCACCCTTCCCATTTGCCCTAAGGTCGTTCTCCGAATTCACATGTTTCCAAACTCCTGATTTGTCCAACTCTTCAGAGATATTGATGACATTAGCAGGGATTTTCATTATATTGCCGTTGGCCAAGGGAATTGACAAGTTTCCGGATGGACCCATCCTCAGAGATCCGAGTTTGCCCTTCATGAACAAAAAATAAAATCGTGAAATAAGGAAAAGAAAGAAAAGAAATATTCCTGGTAGAACCTTTCTCGCAGAAGGTGTTTTTTCTATAGTCTTGGTAGTTTTCACTTTCGCTTCCAACTATTGTATTCTGAGAGATTGATCCATAAAAAATAGGTAAAAAAAAAAATCTTCGAAACCTTACAAATTCCCGAAGCAGTTAAACTAGGAGTTTAACTGCTTCGGGAATATGTAAAACTAGGTTAAACTAGGTTAAACTAGGAACTAGGGCACTGGTTAAACTAGGAGCGTATGTTGTACGTTGCATTTTTTGGAATGATCTCAGTTGGAGCTGAACATTCAATTTTCGGTGAAACTTGACTTGGAAAAATTAATGAGTATCAACAATCTGGTATAGAAGGACCCGTTTTTCTCTTCGGAAAATCTGTTGAAAAAGTGTCGGGAATTTAAAATCCAAAATTTCTCATTTCTCAGCATTGCGAAGTACAATGGTCATAAAATCATGGAATATACCATAACAATATAAAACAAATACCATTCGCCAGCAGGTCATAAAATTTAAATATTCTGAAATCCTATTCAGTTCCTCAACGTTACGGTTTTCGAGGTATTGCACTTCGAAAACAATTTTCGCCGTACTTGAGCATGAAGTACATTTCCACGTGCAAATGTTTTTCATAAACTGAACAATCATATCGAAAGCAAACAAAACATTTTTCGATCCTGAATTTTGTTTTTACGTTTCAAAATGTTCACAATTCGTTAGTTTAACATTGTTCAAATTTTCTGGGCCTTCAGAAAATATTTCTGATCATTACTAATATTAGAATATTGAGTAGATACGAAATGCCAATGAAAGGAAATAAATGTTCCGATCGACTTGAGGACGCTAATTGCCCACCCACATGTCGTATACACAACATAATTTTGACAAACTGCAACTTACAACACAGCCACAATATGAAATTTCAAAAAATCCAAAAAGCTGAAGCATGTCTGAGATCAAATTCAACTCTTGAATAATCACAATTTTGACGAGAGATTGCATTCATACGGTACTGCAGTTCGAATGCAATTTTCTTGACAATCGACAATTTTTTCGAATATTATTATTTTTAAATCAGAAAGATATGTGCAGTACAGTATATACTCCATGACATGATCCGAGAAAAACAACACAGACGAATAAGCTGCATTGCTCATCGGTGTAGATCCGGGTTTTACATTTTGTAGTTATTGAATATTTTTTCATTGTGGGTAAAATTTTCAGGGACAACTATTATTCACCTGTAAAGTATAAGAATTATATTGAAACTAAACAAAGAGGAGGGAAGAACCTATGGTAGAATTTCCCCTGAATACTTCACAGAATTTTTCAGATGGAACATGCAAGCAGGGGTTTCTTTTTTCATTTTCGGTGCCAATCCGTATTCTTTTCTTCGATAACACATAGGAATGGATCAACCCGCAGAACATAATCTTAGGTCATAAATTCACTGAATCTCACACCCTAAAGAGAGCTGACTGAAGCATGAAATTGCCAAACTTACATCCGGTGGAATATCTCCATCATCGGCACCATCTTCGTCCTCATCTTTTTCTTCGATTGTCCGACGCTTGAAATCCGGCATCAAGTCATCAAGCACCTTAAGCTCTTCTGGCTTAAACTGGAAGTCCAAAATTTTCCTCACGGCTATCATCACGACCAACTGGAAAAAATCAAAGCAGAACATGTACGCCCATGCATTTCCTGCTCACATTTTAAGCAATTCAATCTTTTAAAAAAACACCACATGCAAGACCCTTTAAAGATCACAATAGCCCGATGCAACGTTTTCTTTTTTTCTTCACCGCTTCGGTTGATATAAATTGGGGCAATTTTAGTTAGCGCGAGAACTCGAAGAGACAACTGATTGGGTGCATTAAAATCGTTTCATCTTAATTTCTACATCTTCATCGGTTAAATGTTAGCGAATGACGGGAGATTCCATCATTTGATGCACAATATTTTAATGGAAGCTGAAGCAGAAATACTGCATGTCAGCATTTAAATTCACATACAGCGAATACCTGCATTCTCACGTAAAGTGAAAGTACAGATGATTAAAAAAACTTCTTAAAACCTAAATGATTTCCTTCTTCTTACCATGATCGGGAACAATATGGATGTTTGCTTGAACGACTTGATGATCCACAGGACCGCAAAGCAGACAAGTTGAATAAGCGTAAAAATATGCACACGCTTCAATGGAACCTGATTTGAAGAAATAAAATCGATAAAAAATCGCAAGAACTTCCGATAAATCATTTCGGAAGTACCTGACGCAAGAAATAATAGTCCGGTTGGTATTTCGGTGGCATAAACATGATCATGAGCCTGTCGAAAAACTGCAACCCGTTCAACGATGATACGCCCATATACAGAAACACGCCAAATAGAACCGGCATCGGAATGTGCTGCAAAAACAAATTATTTTTAGTAAAAAAAAAAACATGCATCGCAGAAAAAAAAGACCTCACTTTTAGCACCGAAGTCAGGAAAACCGAAAGTCCGATGGTCAAGAAGATGAGAAGCGGAGTCACGCGTTGCTCCCTGTGATGCGAAATCAGGTCGATTCAAGACATTTTGTCAAATCAACGAACAAACACATTTCAGTAGTGTACTGAGCAGCTCACCTGACGCCGAGAAATTGCGGTTTTTCCCCGGGGGCAGCACATTCTGATTCCATTTTCAACGAGTTGACGTGATTAATGGACAGCACCGTTGCGGCAACGAACCAAGGAATCCCCATGCAACTGCACACGATGATGAGGAGAGCCAGCACGAACAGATCCAAATGATAGCCGCAGCCTTTCTGCTCTTCCAGAAAACATCAATAAAAAAAACCCAGAATGTAGATTTTTCAAAAGAACTAAAATTTTTGACGCATGACTTCAAATGACCTCTACTGCAATCTTATGAGGCGCGGAAAAGGATTTAAAAAAATTGCTGCCTTTGCTAGGCCTAGGTTGGAAGATACCAGGTACTTTTGGAAAAAAGAAATTACTTGGGTCACGAAAAAAGTACATGTCATAAATTTGCTCCCTATGAAATGTCTCTCCCTAAACTATGGTAGATCTACAAGTCTTAACTGAAGTTTTCCGCCATTATGGTGCGTTACTAATCAATCTATCCTTGGACAAACCATTTTTCGCTCATTCAGCTGTTGGAAAAATCAAAGAAAAACAAAGCTTGAAGATTTTCTACACATGGTCAGCAATAATTATCACGCAAGAAGAGGTGTCAAAACGAATTGGATCCGTCATTGAAAAAGCTTAGAAAACCTGGAAATTCAAAGAAATTAAATTGTACAGCACCGGTATGTTCATGAATATGGAAGTACTGTACTGCAAAATACTTCGAACTGAAGGCCTTTTCAAAATGCAAAACAAAATCTCGGCTTTTTCATCAGGTTCAAAATGCTGTATGCTGGACAATCCCCAGCATATTCGTCTAAAAAAATACGGATCATGATAATCACAGTTCTTACAAATCCTCGTACAGGGAACATGTATTCAGTGATCATACAATCATTTGTTTTCGTCGTGAATTGAGCAAAACCGCGAGTCGTGAGTTGAGGGCGCCAAATAATTTCCAGACGCACCTTCAGGCGATTTTCTTTACGATTCACGATGACGGCGGTAATTTGCTGGTCCATGAAGATGAGAATGACGGCCAACAGCGCGGGCAAAAAGGCGGCCAGAGGCGACCAGAACGGGTTCTTCCCGCCCAGAGGCGTCACGACCCAACCTCGATCTGGCAACGTAGGTGCAAACGTGCTCGGAACCGTCAGCTTCGGAGTCTTGATATTCACGACGTAGTCGAGCAGTGACATCGACCCAATGGCAATGATCACAGCGAAATCGCTCATTACGGAGCGCACCTGTAGAAAAAGGGCAACATGGGATCAGGTAATGGTCAAGTGCGAGTCCGAAACAAAATGTTCGCGAAAATGAGAAGTCGTACATGCCAATACGCAGTTGATATTGTGCAGCTTTTCACGAACACCCAGAAAAAATGCTGCCAGATTTAGGGCCATCGGAAACCTTTTTACTCGAGGTAAACCAAAAAAGCAATACCGGTGAACTCTCTGATGTTGTTTTGAGTTCCCTGGTCTTTTTTAGGTAACATCTTTTAAAACATCGTCTCTTGGGGATTTTATACCCCTCTCTCAGGTTCCCCCGGTGTTTTTAATTTAATATGTCTCTTTTAGCAACATGACAAGATAGTTGTTGAGAGATTCCACCTGTATTATAGAGTATAATTTAAATTAGAAAACTACATATTCTGAAACACAAAGCATTCTCAGGAAGAAACTGAGAATTGATGCTCACTTTTATATTCCACGAAATGACATTTACCAAGCCCACAATATGATTAATACTAGAGGTACATGCTGTGAAACTTTAAAAATCATAGAAAGAGTTGTGATTGGTTGCTTTCTCCCCCGCGGCTTTGAACTGCCAATTCAAAATTTTCCATAATTCAGATAATGATTTACGCTTACCCCCCAGTGATGTTTTTTTTACGGTGTTGTTATCACTCTGCGCTATGGTTATTAAATTTACCCCTGTGCAAAAACCAAGCGGTGTGCTTGATCGAAGGATGTATGTTAAACTATTCTTCGGTAGTTAAAGTATTACACTGACCCGCTACACTTTTTTTTCGAGTAAAATTCAATTTTCGACGTACCTGAGAGTGTATTCAAATACTGTTTCAAGAATTTCCACGGATTTTCTCCATGATTTTATATTCAAATTATTTTCTTCGAAATTAGAATCAGTAATGCATGCAATTCCCATATTTTTGCGTGATATCACTTTTACGAGTCTTTAGCATCGCGTGCCTCAATTCAATAGAGTATTTCAGAATATCATGTTCCATTACCATAATTTCGACTGCTGGACAACTTTTCCGAAACAAACTAAATCATTTTTTTAATGCCAAGTCAATTTTTATAGTCGCGGAAGATGAATAGAAGAATATGTTCAACAAAATACCACGTAGAATGTGAAATTAGATGAATCAATTTCAAAAATCCTGTTTTCATTTTTCTTCTGCTCTCAACTCCATGCATGTATCGGAGAAGTTCAAATTCACATATAAATCACGACTAAATTAAATTACAAGTCGAACTAGAAAATTAATGCCAACGCAGAGGATACAGAAAGTTTCATCAGAATGCCGGGGTTTTCTAGGAAAACGGATCGATCAAGTCAGTTTGATCAACTTTAGCTGAAAGGCGCAAATGAATTTCTTCAACGAAAAGAAAATGTCGGAAATTCCGCCGATTCCGAGGAACCGACAGGGCAATACCGACTTCATTGTATTAGCCGTACATATTTCCTGAGAAGAAAGAATTTCCATACCTTCGTCGGAAAGAAACGTGCCGATCGAATATTCTTCAGGATAACGGACACGGTGAAAGTTCCCATGAAAAGCAGGATCGACATCAAAAACACGTCGGGTTGATACACTGGGGTATCGCATCCAGATCCAAAAAGGATGCCATCGTATTTCTGGAGGAAAATAAGAGAGTCGAAAAACTGACTTCTCAGACGGATTCCCCGACTAAAATCTTTCGGAATGCAAAACTGCGGTGCGGGCCACAAAAAAATAATACTAATTGAATAGCATCAACTTTCATACTACTCTACAATTTTAATTTCGAAAATTTACCAGCTCGCATTCATCCTTCGGAGCCAATCCCCATTGCCCATTGAAAGGATCGTCATTTCTTAGCTGAGCCTGGATGGTTTCATTGGTGGAGTTGCACCGGCACGTGTAATCCGGAAAATGACCCGACGTATTGATCGGATATTTTTCGCCGATCAATATAACCTTCTCGATGGCCTATATTGAAAAAAAAAAATGTTTATGCCAAAATACGTTTAACTGTCTCGCTTGACTGACCTTGTAGATGAAAATGAAGGCAATCAAACACGCGAAGTTCTCTTCCGTGAACCGAGTGATGTAACACACTGTGTATGACAGGTCCAACGCCACCATAAGGACCAGCAATATCCCAACCCAGATCCCGATGCACATTCGGAAAGATAGGTATTCCCATTCATTACGCCTGAAAAACAAGAAAATTTAATTCGAATTACAGGAAAATAGGGAAAAAAACTGCGTAATTTAGTGCATTACCTATAGTTTATGTGTATCTCTGACATGATCCGCGAGAAATTTAAAGGCGGTATCAGTTACAAAATGCCTAATTACCGAATGAATCGCCTCACAAAATGTTCCTTTATTCTCTAAAAATATTCTGCTGCTTAGACTTGATTCTGTTTGAGTTTTAATATGTTGAAAATGCACATGTAAATTGATAAAGTATATCCTCAATGCTACAAAAAGCATGAAAACCTGTAAAATAAGCGGAACAGTATAGTTGATAAGAACCAAAATATTTCGAGGCACATCCACGTGAATTAACTACCATAACTCTCCCTGAAGCTTTTCAAAAGATGCTACGGTGCCAGGAAGTACCTGGCACTGCAATTTTGAGGAAAGGGAAGCTATACATGATTTCTAGGAATTTATATTCAATAATTAATGCACGGCGTGCTTGCATAACATCAGTGGTCCTTAACCAACATTGAGACCACGGACTGGCAAAGTTTGATGAATATTTTCAGACCAGCAGAATTTTTTTAAATACATGCCAGAAAGTCCTCCGAAGAAAATTGGCAGTGCAAAAAATAAAGTCGAGAACCAATGATGAAGCAGCTATAGTGAAATGTCTTCAAAGATTGGGAGAGCTTGGTTTGAAGAAAGAATGAAAACTTGACGGAATTTATTTCTGCAGATGAACATATGTCTGAAGAGTTATCAGGAGAAAATCAAACTTATTTTTTCATCAGATAATTTCAACTGCCACTGTCTTACCAGATTATAGATAAAAAAAACAGACTTCATCACTACCATTTATAATTTCATCATGTGGAAAAAATTTCCCGCGGACCGGCAAAAAAACATCTGCGGACCATGGCTTGCAGACAATTAGGCTGCATTACTTTTTTTCCTTTTTACAGCTATACAGTACCTACTATAAACTAGAAATAATGAAGTTTCGCGTCCCATTGGGCCATACCCTCGTATATTTTACGACATGAAAAATTGTTCGCCAGATATTCTGTGGGAGTCGATGAAATACACACGAGCAGAAGTCGTAGAGAATGGTTTCGAAGACCAGCACAGGTCCTGTGCTGCCGAGTATTGTGAGCGGTTGTCCAGAAAACAAAGCATACGTGACGCCGACCACAGCACCCGACACCAGCGACTCCATAGCGGCCATGTTGTTGCCTGTCGCTTCCCCGAGCAATCCTCCAAACGTTATGATCGGTGTCAAGCATGCGAAGTAGAGGAAAATCCACGACGCGACGCATTGGACTGAGAGGGCATCCGTGAAGTCCGAGAGATACCTTCAGTAGGAAACCCATGTATATGCACTCAGTTTTGCAGAAACACCCATGGAAGACTTAAAAAAAAAAAACATACCAAGGCCATTTGCGTTTAACGTCATTGATTAATCCACCAAAGAGCCTTCCAGTGCGCGTTAATCCGGCTTCTTCCCGAAGCTTCCGCTCCAAATCTTCCTCGTCGATCTTCTCCTTTTGCACATCACCGTGCTTCCTTGGTTCCTATACGTGGAAATATGTAACTTGCGTTATGCAGTACAGTATTTCAATTCAAATCACTGCAATATGCGTTCAAAAAAAAAGTTCAGCATATATTCATAATCTATTGGTCCTAATCCTCAACGGATCACCGATATCGACGGAGGTTTTCTTTCCCATCTCTTGTAAAGTATGCGGTTTATTTTCGAAACCCATATTTGGGCCATGAACTAAGTACAGCACAGCAATTCACTAATGCTAGTAGATAAAATCTGAAAAAGAAAACCATGTCAAAACCAGCAGGAAGCAAGCCACCAAAAATAATGGGAATCACGGCAACTACCATTGATAAGTGGAGAAAACCCAGTCCCTAAAAAATCAACCACCTCTCCTGAGCGAGAATAAATAAGACGGCAGATTTGAAGCACTAGACCATTGAGATATTGGGAAAGTCTTGCTAATATTTTAGAAATTTCTCATTTTTTTCCTGATGTTCTTCATAGAAATGTTGGCATTCTCTGTAAAAATAACATTCAAGTGAAAAAGAGAGAATGAAGTCCATCTATGGTGGAGGTAATTTTTTAAATTAGCTAAATGGATGGTAAATAGATCGACGAGGAAGATTTGGAGCGGAAGCTTCGGGAAGAAGCCGGATTAACGCGCACTGGAAGGCTCTTTGGTGGATTAATCAATGACGTTAAACGCAAATGGCCTTGGTAAATTGGTGAGAGAAATGCCCAAGAACTTTTCTTGGAACAATTTCACCGTCAGAAATATCTGTTTCTTGTGATTTGGCCTGAAATGTATTTGCAATTTTATCACAAAATGTCCGTATGTTGAGTCAGTGTCCTCATGTCGGGCCTTTTTTTATCAATTTTTATGGGAAAATAAGTGTCCCTACGTCAAATTATCCGCAGGTCGAGGTGCCCGCATATGGGGGTCTCACTGTATTCTACGAACAGCAAAACAGGGTCTGGCAAAAGATAAATAAATAACAATACTGTATATACAATATTGGTACCTGAGAAGGGATGCTGTTCGGCGGTTCGATACGAATGGCAGGGTCCCACTCGCCCGGAGGCAGGATCGTGACGGAGTCCAGGAATTCATCCAACCCCGCGAGCAAGTGATCGCGCCTCTTGGCCTTGTAGGCGATGACGTGGAAAATCTCGTCAGACATTAACGTGGCCATCGAACGACCGATCTCCCGGTAACGAGATGATCGCCCCTGAGGCATAAAAATTCAAATAAACCGAGCATGAGAACAGGTCTGCCTTTCTCATCGAGACCCTGAAATTCACTCACCCCAGATGTTTCCTTAACTTCGCTCGGCTGTCATGATGACGAGAGAGAGAGAGAGAGAGGAGAGGAATAAAAATTACACGTTAATCCACTTCGAATAATAGGTCTTTCAAACTATCTCGCAATCTTGAGAAGGGCAATACAGAGATGGGAATGAATCTCAGAAATATTGGACCGCAGCACGGGACTGATTCAGAGAAAAGAATTTTGAATAAAATAAATACTTCACTCAAACGGTCTCATGATTTATCCTCAGAAAAGAAGCTCACTTTGAGTAATCAACTCCATGGACATCATTCAGAAAATAAATCGTATCACTTCAAGCAATAGAAATAATTATCCAACTGTAAGCTAAGAAAAATAACGTAATTTGAACATTGACCCAAAACTTCGTAGGACTGCAGGAACTGTGGTTTCAGCCATTTATTTTCCTCGCGAAGATTTTCACATTTAAATCTGAGAATGAATCATATACGTGAAAAACCTTTCTTGATGAAAAAAAATATAGAAACCTTCTAAAGCAGGCGTTTAAATTTAACTGTAGCCCAGTTTGGGTTCTTATGAATGGCCCAATAGCTGAAATTAAAACTTATACTGTATAACAAACTAGGACATAAAATTACACCTAAATATCAAGGACAAAAACTCACATCAGGTGGTCCAAGTACAAAACAAAGGAATCTAGTAGGAACCGGAACTTCTGTCAAATCTCCCAACAAAGTCGAATTGTTCAAACGTATGAAGGCCATGATGGGGCGTTCCAAGAAATCAAGCTCTCCGATCATAATGTTGGAGGCTTCCACATCAGGCGGCAATTTCCGCATAAAATGAGTGTTGGCCTAAAAATTGAGGAACAGTAACATAAGCAGTGAGAAAATGTCAATCAAGGAACAGTCTTTCCAAAAAAAAAAAAAAAGGAGTATCCCCTTTGAAAGATACCCTCGAAACTATGTCGAAAGGTTCCAATAACTGATAAATTGCGCGTTTTAAATTTTGGTAAGGAAAACTCCAGCTGTCAATTTGTTCACCTTCGTCATTCCGCCGTCATTCACGTCAGACAGCGATCCATTTTGCAGGGAAACTGCAGTCGCAGATGGTTCCAAACTTGACGACTGTTCCGCTGCAAATGTCGCATTAAAAAAACACCAATATTTCAATGCCTTTACATGTTGAAAAAGAGTAGCATTCGTTTAGCGAAAAATCGAAAAAAAAATCAATCCAAATAGTGTTAGCCCAACACATTTCAACGCATCGGGAACTCCGGGGCATTCCAAGAGTTTCCCACCATATACCATCGAAAACTACTCGAAAAAACCACCGTTCGTTTCAAAAACTGCATCGATAGAAACACGACGGAAGGGAAAAAAGTAAATACATGTACTTTGTTTTTTCAATGCTCACGAAGCATGCTCGTTTTGCATGCACATTTCATGCAAATTCATTCATCGAACGACAAGCTACGAACTACTCGTGCATCCGACACCATTGTCCACGTGTCAACTCACAACAGACGAGATGAAGACGCTATGCATCAGCTATAGGATAGTTATTTGAAAATTGAAGGACTAGTGAAAAGATATTATATGAGTGAAAGATACCCGTTATCCTAAAAAAAAAACGTGGAAGACGAATATCAGGTAACGGATGCGTAAGGAGGAAAAAATCCGGGGTTTTTGAATCCTCCTCCCCGTACTAACAAGTGTCATTCAAAAAAACATTAGCTTAAAAATGGAAAACTGAATCCTTTCAAGATTTTACGCGGGCATTCAAAATAATTTTTTCGAGGGCCAGAAGGAATAAAGACCATCGCTGCGCCCAGCAGGGAACCTTTCCAGACAAAAAAGATCAGTATCTGTATGCGGCAATGATTTTATCAGAGATAATTTGATCAAGCAAGTAACCATTTCGGCGCTTGTTTTAATCTCTGTTTGAGTGGCTTGACGTGAGTAACGTCAGATTTTGGGGCGAACCTCGATCAACTTGAATTGGTTCAAACTGATCATTAAGTTACATTATGCTTCACAATTCGGAGCGCATAAAACCAAAACAAAAACACACACACATATATATATATCCTCCATTTATAAAGCAGCAAATTAACTTGAAATAATCTCATCATCATCCACTCAAACGCAAACTGTTCCAAGTTTATTGGCTAAGGAGAAGAACGCTCTTCCATTGAAAATTTGCAACATCTGATGAACTATTTCTGGAGACAAGCAAATGCACTTAACTGTATTTGCAAGGCGAAAGAATAAAATGCATCTAATCAAATCCACAAAAAGACACTCGGCATCAAATTATCTGATCAAAGGCACCTTCGGGAGAAGATAAGTGCTTGTACTGTACTGTACTACGCATTTTCTTAACGAGGCAAGTCAGATCAGATTGTTCCTAAAATCCGATGAATTTATCTTTCATTTCTCTTCCTTCATTTTTCAAAGTTCAATCGGAATCGAAACAACAAAAATAAAGCGGAAAAAATGTATCTCCAAATCAGCTCAGCTAAAATAAGACAGGTGAACTTATGTTTGTAGAGATTATGAGATTATTCCATTGCATAGAATTGATGACTAACAATTCCCTCTCCCAAGCCAACAAACCACCTTTAATTATTTTGCTTTATTTTTCAAAATTAGATCAAAATCGCGGAAAAACATGTACGCTCTCCTAATCAGCTCGGCTAAAATAACATAGATGAACTTATGTTCGTAGAGATTATAAGATTATTCTACCGCAGACAATTAAGAATTTATATCCAACAATTCCCCCTCCCAAGCCAACAATCTATCTTTCATTATCTTGCTTTATTTTTCAAAAGTCGATTAAAATCGAAACACCAAAAATGCAGCGGAAAAATTTACGCTCTCCTAAGCTAAAATTCCATAGGTGAACTTATGTTTGTGGAGATTATTATATTGCAGAGAATTAAAAATTGATGGCTAACAATTCCCCCTTCCAAGCCAACAATCTATCTTTCATTATCTTGCCTCATTTTTCAAAAATCCATCAAAATCGAATCAACAAAAACACTGTTCAGCGGAAAACATTTAGGCTGTCCAACTCAGGTCAGCTAAAATAACACTGGACAACATACGTTCGTATAAGATATTCTGCATATGATTCTTATATTGAAGAGCTGCTGGAAAGGTTCCTCGCTGCGGATCGATTTCCGGGAGGATTCATTTCGGGGATCAGTCTTAAAATACAAGGGACAGACGGGAGAAAAAGAGAGAACGTTTCGGACAACACCGGGTAAACTAACTGTTGAAAAAAGCAGCTGCGAAAATAGCTGATGCACTATGAATACAGCGTTCCAAGATGAATCCGAGAAACGCGGAGAGGGTTCTGGCTCACATGTGCCACTGGCCGAAGGCGGCAGAAGCAAATTGGGCCCGGTGGCACGCGACGCACAAGGCGTGGGAGTTGGTGGCGCATTACTGCCGCCGGTTTCGGCTGCTTGAACAAGGAGAGAAACAAAAACAAAAAAGTCCACTGTATTGTTTCGTGAAATTCCCAGGCGACGAAGCTCCGGAAACAAGGCTTTACGTTTCATAGCGCTTTAAGCAGGAAGCACTCGGATTACCTCTGCGTTTTTGGATCACCACGAACAGAGTTTTACACAAGCCAACCTCGTGCGTCTCCCGATGATACTCAAACGTACACCAACTCCATTAAACCTATTAATTCAAGAAACTATAGGATTCACAAATGATTTCAACAAGAGCTTGTTCCAACGATACGTGTCCAAAGCAGATATGGTTCCACACGTAGAAATGCATCGTGATGTATATTCAAGTCTCTGAATACAGTATTGAATCCAGACGAAATGCATGCATTACTGAATATCTCATAGCCATCATCATGCCTTTCGGAAAATGAGAAAATTCAACTCTCGGAAAAGGAAGTCGTCCAGGTCGTCGAAAACTCACGAGGCTCATCAAGCAGAGACCAAGGCTAGGAAATCAAAGTCTAAGCTATAGAGAAAATCATCGATCGTCGGCATGAAGCACGCAACATCGATTACTACTCTAACTTGTGAGTTGTGACTACCAGCAGTGCTGACTTCTCATAGGTTGAAATATGGGCTAATTAAAATAATCATTGCACAGAATCAGCACCATACATCTGCGGATTATAGTAAAAAAAAATTTTTCGCAAAAGCACGCGGAAAAAATCTTTGCGAAGGTTAATTAAGATTTTCCGAGGTAGTCCCTATTGTTTTTTCACTGTCTTATAGCTTAATAAAATAATAATAATCACGACCTACCGACTGCAAACAAGCCAAGGAGCGAAAAAGTAAAAGAAGCAAGAGCTGATGGAAGAAGTAAAGCAATGTCAACATTTATTCATGTAGTCACTTTTGTCAGAAGAATAGCACCGTACAGGTATAGGACCAACGAGGTCGATATGCGGCATTAGATTAGAACACCAGATTAGAAGCCAGCATTTTTCCGACAGGAACTACCGTATATAGGTCAGATATCCCAGAGCAATTCTCCACCAGTCACTGCATATAATTGCAAATTAAATCCATCACCATGAGTAGAATGCAACACCTTCACCCGAGCCCAACAACTTCGCAGCCCATGTCACACAGCAGCAGAGTCAACATGTTCTCAGCGCACAAGAGAAAGAATTCGCATCAGTTATTTCAATGCGAATGGTATTCCTGAAGAGAAGTTATCTACAGGATGGTCCAAAAGGAGTAACATATTTTAACATTCTTACGCCCGCATGAACAGAGCTACTAAATACAAACGCAAGCATGAAATTGAAGCCATATTTAAAATTATCTTGAAAAACAGCAATAAGGCCGCATTCACCACTTTTCCATCGAAGTCATAAGCTTAGTTCGGAACGAGATCACAAATCTTTAACCTACAGTTAAACTACAGTTAGAACTTCAAGCAACCTTTTTTCAGGTATACCCTCTTCCATTGCTCACATGCACATGACTCATGGCTTTCGAAAAATTGGTCTGTTTTTGATCCATCCCGCAGAATGTCAAACATAATAAATGCGGACTATTACAAGCTACTCAAGGAATAGAATATTTCGTTCAAAAAAGTGCATCATCCCGATCAAGGGCTTATAAATTGAAAACTAGAAGGAAATCAATCATTTCAATTTGTAAGCTGGACCCTTGATCGGGATGATGCACTTTGTTAAACGAAATATTATTCTATTCCTTGAGTAATTTCTCTGAAATGATTGATTTCCTTCTACTTTTCAGAGATAGAGTCATAACCTTAATGTTTTCTCATCCAGCTTATATTTACGCGTTGACTTGACATGATTCGGAAAGACTTCATATGCAAGAGTTGGTTCATAAGTTTTGAGACTTTTTGAAATCGATCCAGCGGAGTTTCAAAAGCCCAATTTTTTTTTTACTAGCATAACCCCATCATTTGGCAACACTTGAAGTGCTGTTCAACATACTCTCCGGTAAATTCAATGCATTTTTTCATGCGATAAATCAAACGATCTAAACAGTGCGGAAAATCGAGTTCCGTTAGTTGATTAAGTTGCTCTTCGATGGTGGAAATGAGGCTGTTCCTGTCCTCAAAATCAATCCCTTTCTGGTCGTTCTTCACTTTCGGGAAAAGCCAGAAATCAAGGGTGACTAATCAAATAACAGAACTCGATTTTTGGTACTGTTTTAATTGTTGGATTCATCGCATGAAAAATGAATTGAAATTGGTAGAGAGTGCTGTATGTTGAACAGCACTTCAATAGCTGCCAAATGATGGGGCTTTGGGTGTAGATTAAAAAAATAAAAGTTTCTTGAAACTCCGTTGGATCCATTGAAAGAAAAGTCTCAAATCTTATGAACCAGCCCTCGCATAACATCCGTCGAAAAATTTTGATGATATGGCTTGCGAAGTCGAAAGGTGAAACTTGCCCCTAAGGGTACCGAGGCCGACCCGTGACATAAGCTGGCACCCGAAATAGACCTACTCAGTTCGCTATCCTCCAGATCGTAATCTTCCATGGAACCCATGGACGTGCCTGCCCAGGTTTTGGTCGTTCGCATCCTGATGCGATCTTGCGGGCCAGCTTCTTTGGATGCGGGAACGTTCTTACGCTTGGCGTACTTCTGGATATTCTTCCGGATCATGCCTGGAACGGCACATCCGAGTGGCTCCACATAAAAAAAGCGTTCATAATCCCAGAAAGGAACTAGTGCCCGCGGTGCTTCCACGAGTGCAATCGAGAGACAGCCCGTGCTTCAAAAAGCACACCCGAAATCGTTCTTTGTACAATGTCATACCAAGCGGAAGGTCCCTTCGGGGGTTCATTCGAAGTGTGACCTACGACTGACTTTCAGTTCTACATTCTTACGGGAGAGCAAAAGTTTCGCTCATCCGCGATCGAGGCTTCGGTTCGAACAGAATGTACAGTACTTACACTGCGATTCTTGGTCTTTTGGCAAAATCAGAGGTTTATATCCTGAAAGACATGCCCGAAAAGGTGAGCGTATCACAAAACTGCGCGTGTTTTTCAGAACAGGACATATCCAAGGTTGTATCAAAATTAATGCAAGTGAAAAGCGATGCTATTGCTTGCTGAGCGGGTGCAGAAGAAACTCCCATGGCTCAAAAATCTCGCGGGGTACGAGAATCCCGCGAAGTACAAAAATCTGTAGAAACGTACGCAGTTTATAATCAGAGCAAACGCAGAGATTAAAGCACCTAATGAAGCCTAACTCCTTCTGAGACTCTTCAAAAAATATCCAAAACTTTCAAAATGCTTCAAAGGAAACCACGAAGAGACACTTTCAAAATTTGGTAACCAACAAGATTTTTGTTCTTACGGGGTTTTTGTATTCGGATTTTCATTTAAACTCTTTTCAAAAATTCAGACGGTATCCCTACACGCCTCGTCTACTTCAGTTACCAAGAGAGCCTTTTTCCCACGCATAAATTCACGTTGCAGGATTTCTGGACCCCACGAGATTTTCGGGCCTACGGGATTTTCTAGCCCGTGGGATTTTCTCATGGAGGCGTCAGCACAAAAGGAAATGTCATTGAACTCTAGCTTTGTCAAGTATTCTGGATTTCCAACGAGTATGCGCAGCAGTTTCGAATACAATTGTCACTAATTATAAATTTACAACCTTGAATGTCATTAACGTTCAAAGTTAATTTTAAATTGAAGTTAAAAATTAATTGCGTGTTTAGAACAGAGCGTGGTATTCTGAGCACACGTCATTTCGGGACACGCTCGACTGTTTAGTCACGCTAGTACCGTTAGGTATCATGAATGTAATTTTATGCAACTGCTTTCAAGTGAAAAAAAAACATTAGTTTAAGCTAGACTTGTCGGTATCCTGAAACTAACTTACACTGTGGCTCTCTGATTTCATGAAGATTTGTCAATCTGTGCTCCGGTTCACTGAATCAAAATTTATTTTATTGATGCAGTACTTCGATAAGCCATTTCACAACTGAGAAACAAAATTCAAACGGCCCGCCTTCTGAAGACAGAAATGTCTTGACTGATTAAATGACATACGAGTACGGTACATATTTCGTTTGGGGAAAAATCGAATCAAAAGTTCATCGAAGACCATATAGTTAATGATGAGAAGCATCGAAAATCCTCGATTATGAAAAAATAACCTTGACATTTTTCACGGATAATTTATTTAACCAGGTAAATTATTCCAAATAACTTCGGAAAATCGTTGAGCGTTGAACTTTTCGAAGAAAACTTTCCTTTGGTATGTCTTCTCGAACTGCAGCAGCTAAATACAGCTTTTGTTAGCTTAATGCAACAAAAGCCTGCATTTGTGACACGAATATATTAGCAGCATATAGCACATACCGACAGAAAACAAAACAAGACATAAAATTGACATTTGCAGGATTGCAGCGCATATGTAGCCGTGCGTGTCACAATCATGCGATGCCCTCTCGACATCAGTGAAATTTAATCATAATTCATAAACAAAGAATATTTGAAACTTTCCGATTTCAGAAACTGTAAAACGCAATCATTAAATGCGTTTATACCGTGCGTGTCACAATCATGCGATGCCCTCTCGACATCAGTGAAATTTAATCATAATTCATAAACAAAGAATATTTGAAACTTTCCGATTTCAGAAACTGTAAAACGCAATCATTAAATGCGTTTATTCACTGTATAATTGCTTCAGAATAAATCCTATCTATCGTTTTCGTCTTTAAATCTCTTCCTTGTTTAGAAAGATGCCGGACTTGAGTGACAAAATTGAATCTTATAATTGTGACAATCTCGTGACTTATGCCAAGTTATGATATAAACTCGTCACTCTAGAAAAACACATGTTGAATGTATTTAGAGTTGAGTATACAGGTAAAATTGCATTTCGACAGCTCCAAACGTCAAGGTAATCTTGATTAGGATGCATAAACGGAATACAGCAACTCGTATTTTCACTTCTTCACAATAAAAATGGGAAGAACATTCGTTTGTTCGTTCAGGGGAAGTTGGATACTTTGTTTCAAAACGGTCCCTGATCATATTGTCCTGGTTTAGTAACAAACAATGAGCAAAAATGCAATGTCAACTTGTCACTGCGCGTTTCGAGGTCCGCCGAAGAAATGCTGGCATTCCTTCACATCGGGTAGGATAACCTTAGATTGCCCTGCGCACAACTGTTTTTATCGTTAAAAATACACCGTGCGTGTCACAATCATGCGATGCCCTCTCGACATCAGTGAAATTTAATCATAATTCATAAACAAAGAATATTTGAAACTTTCCGATTTCAGAAACTGTAAAACGCAATCATTAAATGCGTTTATACACTGTATAATAACTTCAGAATAAATCCGATCTATCGTTTTCGTCTTTAAATCTCTTCCTTGTTTAGAAAGATGCCAGACTTTACTGACAAAATTGAATCTTATAATTGTGACAATCTCGTGACTTATGCCAAGTTATGATGGAAACTCGTCCCTCTAGAAAAACACATGTTGAATGTATTTAGAGTTGAGTATACAGGTAAAATTGCATTTCGACAGCTGCAAACGTCAAGGTAATCTTGATTAGGATGCATAAACGGAATACAGCAACTCGTATTTTCACTTCTTCACAATAAAAATGGGAAGAACACTCGTTTGTTCGTTCAGGGGAAGTTGGATACTTTGTTTCGAAACGGTCCCTGATCATATCTTCCTGGTTTAGTAACAAACAATGAAGTTTTTACGTTACAGTTGAACAGTGACGCGCAAAGCTCCAGGCGGCTTCTTTACGACCGTAAGGAAGTGTAGCCCATCCTATTGGAATCTAACGGGACGCGTGTTGACAAAAATAGCAATTTTTATGAGTACTTTTGAATTCAGTACATCAATCCTCGCTTCAAATGGCTTTTTTCAATTTCAAGATTAGGATCATTTTACCCTACATTACTCGTTCAATGCTGCGGAAAAATCAAACCAGAATTCATTCGCCGCAATCATTGATACGGTTCATGCACGTAAAGCTCGAAAAACATTCTAGAAAAATACAATTTAGATAGAGTAGTTCGGCTTTAAAATTTTATGACAACAGACAACTCAAAAGTTCCTGCCTTCAAATGGTTTCAAAGCTTTGCTACTTCAAAGTAACTCGTTCTCTCGGAGCAATCATATGTACTCACACAATCTACTCCTATTCTACGCATTCGGCCAACTAATGATGCTTGCAGTGACGCTAGAGGTATCTCGATTTCATCAAGATGAATGAGCGATAAAGGGTCCAGAAAAGCGCCACGTTAAGGTAGTTAGGTTCTAACGTGTTTCCGCTCCCAAGTCAGCTCGCTAACTATTGCCACCCCTTATAAAAGAACACTTTTATAGTCTAGAATGCATAAACTATTTACTGCTCAATAGAAGTAAGAACCATTTTCTTCATGGTCCATTTCAACGATTTTTCAATTAACTCAACAAAGCGGACCATTAATGTCTACGAATGCTTACGTATCCTAAGGCATCGTACAGGTAAAATACCATAATAGTAAGATGGAGTGGCCAATGGGAAACGAAGATGTTATCCTGGGTAAAAGAGGATCTTCTTTGAACTTTTAATTGAACACCACGGGTTGCAACAACTTTCGGTTATGGGGAGAACAGAGAAATCAAGAATTAAAACTACCGATTTGGCTAAGTAAAAAGGTCTCACAAGTTCGGATATTTGTTTAATGTATCAATACATATTAAGATAGCTGTAATTTACGTATTCCGAATTTATTTCAATTTTATAACACGACGTATCAACGGACGTCAGAAATTTCAGTAAGACGTCCCATTATCCGGGCCAAAGGATCGGATGTTTTCTTCACGAACTCAAAAATCTCCGACAGTTAACAATTATTTTTATGCTCTACGATTTTTTTGCTATGCTGATGTACTTATAGCAGCAATTTTCAAAATCTTGAACCTTTACATTCACCAGACGCCGTTAATTTAATTTAAAGCCTATTTGAAAAAAAATTTTGCTACTTCTTCTCGGTCATTTCAATTTGCGAAATCTACTTCGAAGAAGCTCCTTTTCAAAAAATTAAGGCGAATTTATCAGCACGGATAATTGAGTAAATATTTTGATTAACCTATTTGTTTGCAAATGAACGTTCTTATTGAAAACCATTTGAAGGCAGGAACTTTTGAGTTGTCTGTTGTCATAAAATTTTAAAGCCGAACTACTCTATCTAAATTGTATTTTTCTAGAATGTTTTTCGAGCTTTACGTGCATGAACCGTATC